CATGATCTGATTTAAGTTTTTAAGACTGCTGTCGACACTGACACCGACACCGTGGAGAAGGACTGCAGGGAAACAGGGAAACTGGGAAACCAGTTAGGAAAGCATTACATGAGTGGTCTGGGTAAGAAATGATGGCAGCTTGGCTCAGAGTAGCAGCAGTAAATATGACAAAAATGGAAGGACTTGAACTCTATTCTGAAGGTGAGTTTTACTAATGTAATGAGTATAAGGAATATGTAGAGAGAAAACTAAAATATTCTCAAGTTTCCAGCTTGAGGTATTGAGTAGAGGGCAGTAGAGAAAGAACAGACAGGAGTTTTTATTTGCCACTAGATATGTTACAGATTTTCCCTCCCCAAAGTTTATGAAGTCTTTTTTAAAATGTAAAACTTTCTTGCAACCAACATTTATTCTAAAGGCATTTTTCCTCCACTATATACTCTCCCATCCCAAAGCAAAACTACTTTCTCACTAAGATTTAAAGTTCTGGTCCCATCCTATATTTATATATCATAATATTCTAAGTCTTTAAGATAAAATGAATTAGAGAAATGAAAAATCAGAGTCAAGGAGACAGAAACACAAATGAGACAAAATATTTGGTAATTTTTATGTAATTCCTACCCATTTCTAAAGACTATTTCTCTATTTTCAACAGGGTATCATAGCTTTACCTTTAAGCAGGGAAATTCAGACCAAATTCTCCAACCTGGCTCTGAGTCCTCCTACCTGCTTCCTATTCCCCAGTGATGACGAAGTACAGTTCTAAGGGCCAGGGCTATTTTGCTTTAGATTCCTTCCCATTTCCAACATGTTGAAATTCCTATGCCTGCTCTACTATTTACTTTTCTTTTCTCTAAAATCCAGTTTTCTATTTTTGCTAATTATCTTCCAAAGGAAGACAGAAAAAGTATTCAGAAGTAAATTTACATTTCACATAAGAGAAATTAAAAGTTTAAGCAAGTGTTATTGGATCATGGTTTCCATGACTCAGCTTTCTGCAGCAGCACTGTCCAACAGAACTCTTTGTGACAAAACAAATGTTCTACATCTACACTAACAGGGTAGCCTGAGCACTGGCTAGTGTAACTGAGGAACAGCATTTTTAATTTTATGCTTAGTGCTACTGTACTGGATAGCACAGCTTTGTGGGCAATCAAGGGTCTATCAAATCTTTCTTCAAAGTTTTCCTTGTCATAAATTTTTCCCCATTTCCACCAATGCCATAATTCAGCACTACACACAGCTTCTACTACTCTCCCTATATACCACTGAAACATTTCCTTCCCTATACAACACCAAAATATTATTTCAACATTATTTAAAGTTAACTGTTTGATTTGCAATGCTCAAAATCCTTTCACATCAAAAAGAACAGAAAGAATAAAGTCTACCTGGCATTCAAAATCAAAATATCACAACCTGATTCGATGCAATTTTCTAGTGCTGTAACCTACAAAAATCTCTAATTCAGTAAAAAGTATCTACTCGTTATTCCCAACAATGATGTTAAGCTTTCTCATTAGTTATACTATGCTACCAACCATAGATGACCTCCTTATAAACAATTTTAAAAAATCAAATCTTAATTCCTCTTCACCCATGGAAATAAGCTCCCTCTCATCATTGCTCTAGCGAAGTAATCATCACTTCTAAATTGCAAAGCTAATCTACATTTTATCTAAATAGTTAATACTGACTTACTGCTTTAATAGTTACTTAAATATTTTATTGTTAACTTCTCATTTCTTTCACACTTTGTTCCTAAACTTGAAGGCAAGGGCGTATCATATACCCTAAGAGTAGGGGCCTTCACCTCCACAGAGCATCAGATGTTAATTCAAAAAAGGTAAGAACAGAGATAAAGGATTAAGCTAGGAGTTTCTCTGCAAAGAACCCAAAAATTATTCCTCTTCTGTATTACTAAAAGCTCAAAATAAAGCTGAGTTCTGGATAAGTTCCTGGCCTGGCAGTATGCCTCAATGATCTAGGGGGATTTTTTTCTGCTTTCTCTTGACACGTTTAGGAAACAGCACCTTAGGTTCATAAAGAGAAACTGATGTGTTCTCTCAGGTCTAAACTACAGTCCAGGTCCCCTGAAGTATTAACAGACTCCTTCCTAAATAGTTTCTAGTAAGTCAGATAACATGCATTTCCTCAAAAGCCCCAGCAGGTATGTCACAGTTAGTTGGAGTATCGTTCTGTAGACACAAAGGTCCCGGGTTGGGTTCCCAGACATGGTATATATCCAGGTTTCAAGTTCAATCCCTGGTGAGGGTAGGAGAAGGCAACCAATACATCAATACATGTTTCTCTCTCTCTCCCCCCCTCTTTCTCTCTCTCCAAAAATTAATGAAAAAATATCCTTAGGTGAAGAAACTGTGTCAATGAGGCAAATGGAATACAATGAAGAAAGAAAGAGGACCATCACTGTCTCCCCTACTCCAGACCAAAGAGGATAAGGAAAAGAATATATTTTAGTCAACCAAAAGTGGGTTTCCTGGACATTAATTTTTACTATGACTATATAATTTAACTATTATTTTAATCTTTTGAAAGCAGGTCTTTAGCCATTTTTTGCTGTCATAAACGTTTACCATGTCTAAGGGAAATTTTTTACCCTAAGGAAAAGCTATTTAACTTATTTTCTAAGGAATGTTTGATTATAACCTTAAAAGTAAAACTCTGTGTTCTAATTTATTCTCTTTTTATATAGTCTTAAGTAGAACAAAACTTCATTTCAGGTCTTTGAACACTCTCTATTTGAAATGAATTAAAGCCAGAGCACCAAATGACTTCTATGTGCTTCTCTCCAAAAAACAAACATAGAATATAATTGGCATTAAAAAAATTTAGTTTGTCAAACACTTAAGAGTACTTAATATTCAATTATATCTTAACAAAAAAGGGAGCAAAACACACAATGCTAAAACACAGTACTAGGTACCCAATAAGTATTTATTGTCATAACCTAAAATCCAGGGCTGTGAGCACAGCAGAACATCTTTAATGAGTATGTTTTTATTCTCTTTCCATACACTAAAAAAGAATGCTACACTGTTTTGGAGGAGTTTCTACCTTAGACTCTGTGTATACCTACATTTGAAAAAAGTGAAAATAATAATGCCTCTGATGTTAGCAAAGGTATGTCAAATGGCTAAACTCAATTCCTTCACTTGAGCTTATTTCAAAAATAAATAAAATAACCTATAGCTCTGTCCCATCATGGGAGAAGCGGGGGAGGAGGAAAGCTGGGGCACAAACCAGTTTTCCCTAAATTGCTACATCGTTTCATAGTTTACAAGACCTAGAATTTGTTTAGAAGGAGATGACGTCACCTTGTTCCATAAACCAATTTCCCTTGGTACTGTGGAGAGCAGAGTAGATTATTTCCTAATTGATTTCTTTAATGTTTCTGTCAGAAATCAAGAAATTCCCTTACAATGAAGAATAACCCTTGTAAGCATAGTCTTTTATAATTTTAGGAAACCAATGACAAGAATCAAATAATGTAAATTAAGCAGAACTCATTTAAACTAAGTTCTAACAGAATCGCATATGTAAAAAAAAAACCTGAAATAATTTTTATCCCTAAAATGTTCCATAATTTAGCTACCTGGCAAATATTTTTCTTTTTCAAGTTATAAGGATATTAATATAGGCAAATTGGAAAAATACAAATTTAAAATAACAGATCCATATCTAAGCCATAAATATTCTATGTACACACACCTTACATTTTATTTAGTTAAGTGGTAGGAAGGGGTGTGTGTGTGGAAAAGGTACATGAAATAAGGAATATAAAGGATCACCATAGTAAAGAGCCATAAAAAGAAAACCCCACCTATCTTGGGTAGAAGTATCTGGATAAATGAAACAATGAATATGAATCCTTCAACCAAAGATAAGGATACAAATTTAACTGAAATCAATAAACATCTTTAAATAATCCACCATCTGGTGCCTATACACATATAAAAAGGCCTACATGAAATGAATTGGTGATCTCAGTTCAGATATCCTGGAGGTCTTATTAATGTGAGTGTACGGTACTGAAGGTAACATGCATGAATAAAAATAGATTCCATTTCAGATACAGGTAAACAGCAATTACATTAAATACTATTTTCATAAAATATCCAAAATGACCCAAATGGTTTAGAAAAGCTATTTACTGAAAAAAAAAAATAGTAAGTAATACCTATTATGCCTCAAGTGTACATACATTAAAATAAATACTAGAACATATTTACTTTGTGGGATTTTTTTTTTTAGTATACTATGAATTCTGAGATCTTAACCTTCCTTTTAAATTTTATAAAGAAAGCCCTTCATGATAGCAAAAAAGAGAAGGTAAAGGAAATCCCCAAATCATCTATTTGGTATAATATATAGCATTATCAATCCCCAAATAAAAAGTTGCATCAAGTCATATAATATTAAACAGACTGAGCAATAGCTAAAATTATTAAAATCAAAAGAAACTTTCAAAAATACTCAAGTTGAATAGAATGACTTGTTAGAAGAGATACATTAACTACCTTAAAAATATAATTTAGGCCCTGGCTAGTGTAGCTCAGTGGATTGAGCGCAGGCCTACGAACCAGACAATGGCGGTTCGATTCCCAGTCAGGGCACATACCGGGGTTGCAGGCCAGTTCCCTGCAGGCCAGTTCCCAGCAGGGGACAAAGGAAAGGCAACCATACATTGATGTTTCTCTCCCTCTCTCCTTCCTTTCCCCTCTAAAGATAAATAAATAAAATCTTAAAAAAAATATATATATATATATAATTTAAATTTAAAAAATCCCACAACATAACCCAGACAGAATAAATTAGCTGGTTTTTATACTTAGCTTTGTTTTAAAATAAACCCCACATATATAAGGGGTTTGTATAATATTGCCATTTCCTAAAAAAAAAAGACATAATTCAATGACTTAAATTTGACAGTTCATCTCTTTAAAATCTTGCATTTTAGAAATCATGATTGCACTTACCACATATTTTACAGCACTTATAAACTGGTTGTGGAAGAGCAGATGCTGTGTTTCATCTTCTGGATTTGAAGCTGTATAAAGCATGCCACAAACATTACAGGAAACTGCTCCAAATCTTTTTTGTCCCGCATCCTATTTATAACAAAAAAATAAGAGGGGCTTTTTTTCTCCCACAAGAATTCTAGGACATTAGCCTCTAAAGCTATGGTGTAAAAATAAAGTGAGAAGTATTTAATCTATAATAAATAACATACAATGTTGATTACAAAAATGAAATGTTAATCTTTGAAATCTGTGTAAAATTTTATCACAAACTGCTTCTATTTTAGTAATCTGATCACTTGCTGCATAGCATTTAATAACAATTGAAAGGAACTGAGAAATATCTTTAACACAAACTACAATCTTAGTCCTAAATCCCCCAAATAGCAAAATACTCTACAAATGAATATTTTTATCTGCAATATTTATATTGCTAAAGTTTAGAGAAAATAGTGTTGTTTGTACACACTTTTTAATACCTTAAAAATTTGTTCTCTTTAATGATTTTATTCTCATTTGTAGATAGTAAAAACAGTATTTTGATGTCCTCTGAAAATCTTGAGAAAAGGTAAAATTAAATCTTAGTATTAAATGCATACCAAAGACTGACTACAATCATCTATTCTCCAGTAATTCATGCTTGCACTGTGGAACAGTAACTGTTTACAAAATGTTTTCTATTCTTGGCCTTATTCAACAGAAAATTTCAGCAAAATGATCTAACTTTAAAAAATTTTTTAAATCCTTATCTTTCTACTCTAAAACTGTGGTGCTATTTGAATTATTGAAAAAAATAAAAAAGAATGTAAGGTAACAGTATCTCCAGTGCCTTACAACTAGGGTCAAATAGAAAAGAGAAATCAAATGGTAAATAAAACACTGTATAAAACTAAAGGGAAGTTAATTCTAAATAACTCAAACTATTTAAAAATTTATTAACTGCAAAATTATTACAGGCAGAAGAAACAATTTGTAATCGTGCTTAAGATACTCATACATAATATTTACCATGTCACCATTTTTAAGTGTACAGTTCAGGAATGTTAAGTATATTTACAGTGTTGTACAATCAATGTCCAGAATTCTTTGCATTTTACAAAACCGAAGCTCTATACCCATTAAACAGCTCCTCAAACCCTATTTCTATCCAGCTCTACGTAACCACCTGGTTCTTGAAGACTTCCTCAGAAAGACAATGGAAAAAAAGAAGTATGCTCCAGGGCCTTTGACATGCACAGTTCAGCACAGACATGCCCTGTCCGGTGTCATCCCCTCACATTCAGTCAATATGTTCCAGGCCTTTTTGTCTCAATGAATTTGACTACTCCAGGTACCTCACGGAAGTGGAATCACAGTCTTGGTATTTTAGTGACTGGCTTATTTCACTAATTATCCTCAAGGTTCAACCATGTTGGTAGCATGTATCAGAATTTTCTTCCTTCCTATGGCTGAATAATATTCCGTTGTGTGTATAACTTGTGTTTTGTTTATTCATTCATCTACTTAAGTTTTCACACTAACGAGTAAGCATTTCTGCCCCAATTTCCTCACTGATCAATGGGAAATAATAGTAGTACTGATCTTATGCTTTTAAAATATGGCTTAACTTAATATGACTGAAGTACACTGAAAAATATATTCAAAAACCTTAATTGTTATCATTATCATCATCACCACTACCATCATCACCATCTCCTGACCAGCACTACCCAATAGAAATGTGATCCACAAATGTAATTTTAAATCGTCTAGTAGTCACATTAAAGAATGCAAAAGGAAAGTGAAATTATTTTTATAATGTATTTGACAAAATATATTCCAAATATTATAATTTTATCATGCATTAAATATTTTAAAAACTTATTAGTGATTTACTTTACATTCTTTCTCTTTACCTGTATTTGAAATGCAGTATTTATATTTACACTGACAACATATCCCAATTCTGATGAGCCACATTTCAAATTCTCAAAGCCAGATGTGGCTACTACACTAGACAGTGAAGTCCTAGATTCTACTTGTCTAATCCTTTTTCACTATCATACTAACTTGACAACAGAAACATTATTACACTGGATAAAAAAAATCTTTCCCTCACTAATCCTTCTCAAAAATTTCCAGACAATCCTTGCAAAGTTGTTTTCCCACATTAACCTTAGATTCAATCATCCAGTCCCCCCAAATCCTATTGGTTATATATTGACAGAAACTACATTAAATGTCCCTGTTATTTTGAGTCTCTTCACTTTTTCATATTGTGTTCACTCATTCAAATTAGATTTTTAATCAATGAAAACATCTTCCTCTTTTCCACCTTACAACCAAACTGTTAAGTACCTATGTTCTATTTCAAATTAACTATTGATTTATCTTCCTGTGAAATGTAGTTTTAAAGTTATAATGTCTTGAACAATTAAAATTCTAAAGTGGCAAAAAATAATAAAAATTATAATGTCTACTAAAATACAGATATTTAAAATCATCTTATGTATTGAGATCCATATTATTTTAATATTTAAACCAACTACTAAAAGACAGATCAAACGACATATTAAAATAACAAATATAAAATAATCAATGCTATAAATAAAACTAAGTATTTAAATTTGAATTTTTATTGTTTTATTATTTGTTATGATAGGTCACTACTTGGGGGTTGGAGAAAATTTGATATGATTATCAGGAATACTGCTATAGTGAAAAATCTATACTGTCAAAAAGAAAAAAGATATGAATTCATTCTTTAACAATGCATAAATAAAATACTTATGACAATACTTCACCAAAAAGGTCAAGTTGTATACTTACTATGATCAACTGTTTCTCATCAGCTTTCTCTGCTTCTTTTAATTTCAAGTCTTTTGGGATTGTTATCTCCAAATGGGAATTACACTTAGGCCAAGAATGATTTGGTGGTGTTTCTCTTTAAGAAAACAAAAAACAAAAAAACTATTAAATGTTACAGATCTGTATCACTTCAAATTACTGGAGGGGAAAAAAACAACATATTTTCTACCTAACACTGACAAATTTTAACTTCAAGGGTGAAAAACTAACCTTTTAAAAATCAGGGATGAAAAACCCAAGAAACCCTAGAACACTACTAAGGCTGAAAAATAAACAAAAACTGTAGCACTTATTATAATTTGGGTAAGTTTTATAGTTTTAGGTGCCTGAGTAACTACGATTTGTCCTAAACACTGTTTTCAGTAATCTGTAAAGTAAAATAAGTCAGATTTAATTTAATTCTGACATTAAAGATTAAAAAAAAGCTTCTGAGACACTTAAAACATAGAATTTCAAGGGGTTTGAGTAACGAAACTTTCTCAAACATCTGCTCCAAGAATAAGAAGATACAACCACTTGGGAGGAAAATCTGGCAATGCAGGTTAAGTCCTACAGCTATGAAATTTATCCTAGATGTAAATCACCTAAGTGGGTAAAGATATATTTCTTACAGGACTTTTTTTTTTAATAGGAATAAACTAGAAACAACCAAAATGTCCATAATGTGAACTGTTAAGTAAGGAATGAAATCTAATGCAGAATTTAAAAAATGAGGTAAGATGGTTAAAAAAGATGCCCATCATACACTAAGAAAAAAAACAAAAGTTATAAAACCATTTATATAGGCATAGAAAAAAACATACAATGAGAAAGAGAATGTGAATATAACTGCCTCAGTAAAAAACTGAGGGTTACAAGCACAACTTTTTTAGCAGGAAAATAATCTTTCGAACTCAAACTTGCAGGTTAAAATCCTTAAATTCTATAAAAACCGGAAGGCAGACCAAAAATTCAGTGGCTTATGCTTAGCCCCAAGTCATCAAAATAGTTTTAGCTCTCCCAGAAACAGAATATTAAACCAATCAATCAGAAATCATCTGATCTGCCTGACAAATCCCTACCATCCCCTAAGGAAAGTAACTGCATAACCAACCCACCTTTTTTGCCCACTTTCTTCTGAGGATTAAAGTCTGTCATTTTGTACAGTTGCTCAAAGCTCCTTTCTATCTGCTAAATTGAATATTGCTCAACTTGAAGGGACTTTGCTCAAATAAAGTTAAAAATTTTAATACGCCTCACTTTATTTTTTAGCTGTTGTCATATTTACATTTATGAAGAGGACCCCAAACAAACCTGAAATTATCTTCTGGAGAGCAGGCCCCATGTAGTATAGGTTTCCTCCCTAGATGAGTGCTCTCAGAACCCATCTGTATCAGTGTACCAGCTGATGTTATTGTGAGAGGCTACATTCAGCTTCAGTGAATTTTTTTGAAGACTCAATGTATTTGCCCATTTCATGATGGGTGATTTATGAGCACACCTTCCCACACCACACTGAGTGTTCAGCAGTTTTTGACTAGAAGACTGCATGACCCCTGTGCCCCACCCTCCCCATTCACCCAATCTCACCCTAAATGACCCCTTCCCAGGACAAGAAAAGTCTTCAAAGGGATTTTGTCCATGTGGAAGAAGTGAAACAAAAAATGGCAAAGGCACTAAAAGGCATCAAAATAGACAAGTTCAAAAACTATTTTGTGCAGTCTCAATTCATCTATTATCAAATAGAAAATACTTGGCATCAAATGGGAAAATAATTCAAAGATGACTAAAGTGTAAGCATGTAAAAATAAATACATAACTCTTTATAAATAAGTTCCAGGGTTTTTTGGAACCCCCCTCATATACCAAACAAATACCTTACCTGTTATCACTGGTGTTAGATGTTTGGTTAATGAGTATACTGTGCTGCTTGGGAGGTGAACCTGTAATTTAATCAAGATGGGTTATGCATTAAGCTTTGTACTAGCTCTCCACTTAATAATTCAAAATCATTTTACAGAAGAAAAAAAGCACAATACAGTAAATGCTTTATTCTTATTAATGATCGCATGATAAAATTAGAACCCCTTCCTAGAAATTACTCTTCAGAGAAGAGGCAGTAAAGTCTCCACAGAGCCGCAGAGATCTAATAGTACGTTATCACAGCATGCCTCTAGTTTCACCAATATTTACTAGCACTGAACAATAAAGAAAATTATTTAAATGCCTGCATAAATCTATAACTTCTAAATGAAAATAAATAAAAACATTTCTGCCCTGGCTGGTGTGGCTCAGTTAGTTGGAGCACTGTCCCAAAATCAAAGGTTCAGGGTTCAATTCCCCATCAGGGCACATGACTGGGTTGAGAGTTCAATTCCAGGTCTGGGTGTGGACAGGATGCAAGTAACTGATGCTTCTCTTGCACATCAATTTTTCTCTCTCTCCCTTCCTCTCTCTCTAAAAAAGGAATGAAAAAAAATTTACTTTCCTAAGGGTAAAAAAAAAACTTTCTTTAAAAAACTGCAGTCTCTGTAGTTTTAATCAAATTAATAAATAATGAAATAATTGATTCATTTTATTTTGTAATGCATAAACACACTCTCAAGTTCACAGTATATATACTGCCCCTTTCCCCACTAAAAGAAAGAGTTAAATGACATCCAATGGAAGAAATTATCTGACCTCAATATTTTGCTCTAAGTATACCTTTCCTTTAGCAGAGAGAAACAACATGAATTAGGGATTTCTTTTCTATATCCCCTGGTGCTTCTGACATAGGTGAGCAAATTCCCATCAACACTTCAAATAACATATTGTCAAAAACTTTTTACAAGGTTACAAAAAATAAATTTTTGTATAAGTGAAAAAATGTAGCATTTATTAAATCTTTAATTCAAAGATAGAATCAGAATCACTAAAATGGAAAACTGAATGAGGGTTGAAGATAAAAACCTGAAATGGTAAAGCATATTTATATTTGAGTAATATGTTTCTACCACTAATTTAAGTAATTCATTAAGTAATACTTCTCCAAAGAGTAAGCCATAAATAAAAGATTTAAAATCAAAGAATTATACTTAAGTTCTTTAAACAAGCCGATGGACAGAAACAATTCTCCCTCAAATAACTGTGATAATTGCACATTTGAAAAACATAAGCAATGATTAAAAAGGATTTAATAGACCTATCTGGTAGCCCATATGGTTTCCTGTCATACTGAAAACCATATCTCTGAACACTATGAAATCCAAACAATATTTTCAAAGGGTTATTACCTGGAAATTTACTCTCCCCTGTATCAAGTTCTGCTTGACTAAGCAGAGTTGAAACAGCAATGTTATTTTCCACTGGATTGTTTTCCAGCTTAGATTCCAAACACAGGCTGAAATTCTAAACACATAATTCAAAATGTTAATATTTGCTTTTACATCAATCTCTGGGTATTACCCCAGTACACTTTCAGTGAATTTAGCATACTACGAAAATTTAAGATAATTCTTTTTATTTGAAGTAATTCACCTAGATATGCCTTAAAAGTCTCTTCATGCTCTCCCATAAGCTATCATTTCAGCATCAGCTCCCATTATTCCCTTCCATGCTAAAATGAAAAACTTTCGTCTCCCACACTATATTCCTATTGTTTGGCTCTATATACTTTTTCTGAGTTTTACCCATCTAGACCTGTACTACCCAACCCAGTAACCACTGCCACATCTGACTACTGAGCACTTAAAATACGGTTAGTAGATTGATTTGAGACATTGTAAATGTAAATCATACACTGGATTTTTAAGACTTAGTTCATAAAAATAAAAGTAAAAAGTCAAATTGTAAAAATTGATTACATATTAAGATGACAGTATATTAACAAGACAGAACTAATGAAATATACTAACTCTGCCAGTTTCTTTTTTCTTTTTTTAAAGTGGCTATTAGAAAATGTTAAATGATATATGTGATTCACATTATATTTCTACTAAATAGTGCTGATCTAGAACACCTTTCTCCCTGTATCAACTCAACTCATTACTTAAATATTAACCTCTTCCATAAAGCCTTTTCCAAGCTTCCCCCCCATCTCTGTTCCCAAAATTTCTAATCATTCTCCATCTGGTTCATATCTTACCTCTTTCACGCCCTTATTGAGGCAGGATAAGAAAAGAGGTTAATTCCTGGGCAAGTGGAATGGGGAAACTGAAACCAGATCATTAAACTAGACCAAACAGTTCGAACAACTTCCAGCCAACTAATGAATCACAAGACTTTATCTTCCAAGGACACTTGAGAGGACACTTGACAGCAAACAGTTTATACCTCGCTTCCCTAACCAGAGAATATGCACCTTAAACCATCCTGGTTAGGGAGATAGAGGACAGAGACCCAATTAATGCCATTTGTGCCAGCCAAACCCAAGGATGGATGAAGTCAGGGGAACAAATCACAAAAACTCAATTAAGAGCCAGACAGACCCAAGATGAAAGTAAAACAGTAAAGAAGATCAAAGAATAATCCCAAACTCCCCTATACACTCATTTTGATGTATTAGTATATTAAAAACGCACCTGAGAAAGCTGAAGAATAGTCTGCTGAAATCCTCTTTTAAGATTCTCCCCCACAGGAGATAAAACCCTCAAGACAAAGGATACCAGTGTGGTCTCACTCTAGAGTACACCCACACCCCTTCTGGGCATGAACTTGTTTACTTCCTCCTAAACTCTAAGGGTCCCCATGAGACTTGCAACCATGGGGGCAGTGGGGAGCAGCAGTTAGCCCCAGGCTTACCCCCAACCCTGTCTCCAAGGCCGTTTTCCTCCGACTTTCCAGTGAGCTTTTTTACAAAGGCAGACCCACTCTGGCTCACTTCTGTCACTTTGACTTTCACTTCCCAATGACCTAACAGTAGCCCCACCTGGGTTCACTTCTTTCTTATAACATTCCTAGGGAGCCAAAGCAGATTGCTACCTATGCTCTCTCCTGTTGCTTCTTCTACACTAAGTCCTTCCTCTGTCCCACTGTCTCCAGCTTTAAAAAACTTAACTCTCAAAATCACCTGGACTCGTATGGTGAAATCTTTCCTGCACAAAGTCAAGAACCCACACACCACAGGCCTGCCTTAGGCAGACACACTCCAGGTCCAGTACCTGTCCAGTGACATTATCATGCCTATTTTGATTCAGTTATTTCTTTTTGATTTATTTCCTATAACTCTTAAGAGCAAAGACCATTACTATATTTATCTCTTCATGCCTAAGGGTCCCTAAATCAGAACCTTGTCAAAACACTCAGTAACTTCCAAAAGAAAATGAACTCCAATCTCTATCAACATTAGCTATCTCAAAAAAAATGGAAATAAGGAAAATAATTAACATTCCATGTGTGCATTATATCAGTACTGAGATAGTCACAATGAATGTATAACATTATTTTTGAACATGTTACTTTTTGAACAAGATGAACTTTATTGAAAAAGCAGAAAAATTAATAACAGCAGCAGCATGTTACTAATTAATTTCTATTAAAAGGAAGTTAGTAAGTTACTGATTTAAAAACGAATTAAAAAATTGAGCTTTACAATCCATACAGTCCAAAAATTTAAATTCAGCCCAAAGAATTCAACTGGGATGAATTCTTTGGGATGAATTCTTCTTTGGGATGGGCCCAAAGAAGGCCCATCAGATGAGATGCTTAACCTTATCAATCATCATTTCTGAGAACAGCTATGATTGACACTGTATAATTAAAAGAGCAAAATTATAAGACAGCCACAGAAAAAGTTTTCAAATGATGTAAGGTTTGTTTTTACATTCTGCTACACAAACTGTTAGCATTTATGTAAACATTTAAAACACACACACAGTGCTGACTATATACAAATACACAGTAAAGTCATAAAAATAAAAACAGAAAAATGTACCCCAATTTCGAGGGCATGTTTAACTCTGGGAAGAGAGGTGAATGGGAAGGAGAAGGTTAATGGTCTTTAACTCTATCTATACCGTACTTTTCTTACTTCAAAAAACCCATATTCAATAAAATGTTAATTTCTGTCAAATTTGGATGGCAGAAATGAGTGTAATGTTAATCTCTGTAGTACTCTGGAAAATTTGAAATGTAATTTTCAAGTGTAAATAAAACTTTTAACAAAGTTTCATAGGACTGTTTCTCATGATGTTCCTCAAGACAGAGGTACTATATAAATTCAAAGCACATTTTAGTCAAAGCAATAATATAGGTTAAAATAATGTGGTCTAAGTAAGCATCCCTATTCCAGTACAGTTAAAGAATGAACCACATTTCTTATTCTTCAATATATTCTATACAGACTGTCTGCCTTTTGAATTTTGACAGGTATTTATGCATCAAAGAATTAGACAATACTCTCCAGCAACACCTGGATTATAAACTGTAAGTTCTCAGACAAAACACACTGAGTACAAAACCACCTCATGTCTACAAGTAGCTACACTTATTACCCATACTCCACTCACCACTTACCTCTAGTTACTATCGCTAAATAATTATCTTCTAATTGATGATTTCATTAGCATTTGTACAGAAAATAAAATCTAAGCATACTATATAGTGTCTGTTCCCTTTAAATTCACTTTGATTTAGTCCATGAGAATAGGCAATGATCTGTCTTTTCATGACTTCTGGCATAAAGCCCAGACTCCTCATTCAAAATGCCTCTAATAAGAACTTTAAATCACTCTCAGAATTTTAAGGTGACATGACTTTTTTCTCTACTTATGATAATTTTTTTTCCTCAAATCATCTTCTAATGCTCAAACTATGTTGCTATTCAAAGAATGCTGGGCTGAGATTCAGGACACCTGGATTTTAATCCTATTTGTGCTACCAAACATGTGACCTAACTACATTCCTCTGTTGTTTCCAGTTTTCTCATTATAAATTTAAATAATGGAAACAAATCAGTGGAGTTTTTAGAAGTTGTATTGAAGAGCTCCATGGCTCTAGACCTATAAAATCTCTGCTCATTGGTTTTATATATTGATATTTTACCTATGATTTAATTTGGAAAGAAATGGGCTTAGATGCAGTTAGAGAAAGATAAATAGCATATGATCTCACTTATATGTGGAATCTAATGAACAAAATAAACTAAATAAACTGACAAACAAGAGAGAAACAGAGGCTTGGACACATGAAACAGATTCACAGATACTAGAGGTGAGAGGACAAAGGGAAGAAGGGAGGGGAAAGGGGTGACTGGATGAAGGAAGGTGAAGAAGGGATTAGCCAAAGAACGTACACACATAACCACATAACCTGTAGACACAAACAACAGTGTGGTGATGGCTGGAGGAAAGAGTGCACAAGGGCTGGGTGGAAATGGGCAAAGGGGGAGAAAATAAACACACTAGTAATAGTGTCAACAATAAAGTTTTTTTAAAAAATGATCTTATCTGCTTTTATAAAGTGTCAAAACTACTGCCTTAGATAATTCATTAAAGTTTCTTTTTATCAGATTCTTTTTCATTTATTTTTTCCATTTTAAATATTCTAAGACACTATAATTTTATTCTTAGACTGAAGATTGAATTATTTACATCTTTCAGACTTACTCTTGGCCAACTGTTCAAAATGGCAAACCAGAGGCATCCCTACTAATAGAAGTGTTTGATTTTTAAATTTTATCAGGTAGGGAAAATAGGTTGATTCGTGGCCAGCTAAAATAAATTTTAACAGCTTGATCAGAATTTAAGCTTTACATTTTAGTCACTATGAAACATACCTTCTATGGTTACGATTAATAGAAGAACGAAACATATCACTGTTAACTGAAAAGGAAAAGCTAGAATTCAACAGGTTTATACTTCAAATAAAGTTAAAATGAAGGGTGAAAATGAGGAAACAATGAGAAGCATTCATGTAAATTCGAGACAGCTAAAGAATTCAGTAGGTTCTATCACTCACTACAAGACTGGATCAATAAAACTCTTGCTAACAACAGATAAGAATACATTAACCCATGACTCTTCAGTCTTTTATGATTCCTAAGCTAAAGTATGTTGTAAACACTTATTTCTTATTAGAAAGTACTCAGACAGCTCTATTGTGTATAATAAAAATGGATTAAAAAAACAGATTTACCTTATCTGGTGTTGATTCAAAACAATCTTTCATCTGGTTATCCAATGGTGAGTCAGGAGGTGGTTTGATCTTATTATCCAAATGACAATTTTCAGGAGCCCTTTTTGTGGTTTCATTAATTTCAACTGTAATATCACTAATTTTACCTTTTTCAGAATTAATTTCTTTCATTTCTTCCTGCTGGCAAGCTATGTTTTTATCATCATGTGGTTTTGTCCCTAAAAATGTACTTTGAGTAACTGGATGAGGCATCTCTAATGCTGGTAGTGTAAAACTAGTTCGTAATAAGCCCAATTTAGGGGAAACTTGAGAGTCCAACTTATTCTGCTGCACAGAGTTAAATTTTGAGAGTTTAATTTTAGTCCAGTTGGAGTTCTTTTTAGCTGAACTGTTTATTCCATTTAGTATACATTTCACAGGCTTTGTTTTTCTACTGGGGAAGAAACGATTACATTGAACATCCTGATTCGTTTCCTTCTGATAAAGCGTTTGTCTTTCAATATCAGTCTGTTCTGATTTTATTTCTGTAGGCTTTTCCTCCTTTATACTTTTTGTTTGTGAAGATTCCTTTTTTACCTCTACAGTATCTGACTCGATCTCACCAGCAATTTCTTCACAGAGCTGAAGAATGCTACCTCGTTTGCTTTTTCCTCCTTGTTCATTATCTACACTTTGTTCAGGCACTGATGGCTGTGGACTTTTTTGAGGTTTTGAACTAGTATTCACTTGTGAATGAACTGACTTCTTCATCTCATTCTTTTTAGAGACCACTATAGTAACCATTTTTGATCTTTTTATCTCAGAAGTTACAGGCACAGATTTTGTTTCTCCTTTCCTAGTATTCTTCTGAAGACAGTCTTCAGGTCCTTTTACATGCTGAGAAGTACAAGCGTAAGATGTCTGATGCTCTACTTTACGTTTTTTTCCTTTTGGGGAATTTACCTCATTATTAATGACTGGATTTTCATCTACTCTAGAATCAGACTTTATTTCCAGTACTTTTCTTTTTACATGTTTTTGAGTTGTTTTAACTTTATTAGATTTACTTTGAGTGTTGCTACAGTGCTCTTTTCTTGTTGGTGGCAAACTCTGTTTAACTGCTTGAACTTGACCCTGAATTTCTCTACTACGAAGAGACCTTGTTGAAACCTCTGTTAGCTGTTGTAGTCTTTGTGATCTCCGGTTAAGCTGTTCATTTGATTTTGGGGTCTCATGCACTGATTTTTTCTGAGATTTCTTCTTTTTTGTAGATTCTTGTTGTGAATGTCTTTTCACAGTCGCCATATTTTTATTAATGGACTTATTAGCTTTTTCATCATTGAATGCTGCTGTTGCTGACCTCGTACTCATACATACGCCTAATTCAGGCTGATTTATTTTACTTTCACTAGAAGATTTAACTAGTGATTTTATAGCTTCCTTTGGATTCAATTTTTTCGCTAGATTCTTTTGAGAACCTTGAATTTGTGCTTCTAAATTCTTATCATCACTTTTTTTAATAACATTGGAGGGATTTTCTTTTGATTTCTCCTGAAGGGACATCATTCCTGAGTCAGGTCCTCCTGTTCTGAATATCTTCTGAGAGGATTCTTGTGTCCTGATAGGTGAGAATGCTGAATGTCCAGGATTATTACTGAGGTGCAGGTCTTAAAAATTGACTTTGATGCTGATACACATTTTCAACAAAATACTAGTTTGCTTCAAGTAAGGTTTCCGTCATCCCTAGAATATGAGAAAAGCTGGCATCAAGACTGAAAGATATCTACTTTGCTTTGGGAAAGGCGATATAAATTTGAAGAAAATTTAATTCTAATTTGATATTTTTAGAACTTTTTATGAAACAAAATTTAGTTCAATCTGTTTTGGTAATTTCTTGATTAATATTGGATTTCAGGCCTAACCCTATTACTGGAGAAGTTATTTATCACTGACCTGTCTGTTTTGACAGAGTTTTTGAAAACTTTTGTCTTCTGGAGTCTACAGATACTGAACTTTGATTCATTTGAAACATGTCTTACAGCTAACACGTTTCTCCCCTTGTTTGCTGAGTCTGCTGGTTCAAAGTTCTTATATAACCTCTTTCGTTTAAGAAAATATTTTATTAATATAGATTTCCTTTTGTGCTGCCATTTCTGAAAAATTAAAACATAAAAATTAAATTTTGTACACTTGAAGAAACATGGCAATACTAACACTATACAGAAATAATCTTTTTAATATAAAATCTAACTTCTTTTGAATTATTTAGTCTGTATAATTAAAGCTAACAGAATAAAGCATCCCAAGTACATTCCTATGAATAAATCAATAATGTGTCTTATTTAAGCACAGATGTTGAATGAAAATCAGTTTATTACTTGAGATTACTTACAGTTCTTTTCCCGCAAGACAGAATTGATCTTTCAGCCACCATAACTCATGAAAATTTGACAAAATCATTCCTTATTATAGCTCAATACATTATATGGCACCTAAAAGAAAAAGTTTTTTAAAGGTTTAAAAAGTATACAAGAAAAATGTAATCAATGATTCACCTCTCATTAAATATAACACTCCATAATTTTACCATCCTATTATTAGTCTTCAGAGCTCACATAACATACAGTATAATTTCAGTATTTCTAACATGAAGTTAACTGATAGTACATGCATCCAACAGAATAGCATGCAATCACTCTATGTTCTAAAAAATAAAGTCTTAAAATACAAGAAAAAATTTGTCAGATGTGCATATATGTCAAACTGATAAAGTAAAATCCTATTTTGAGGACAATCAGTGCTACATAAATAACTCTATACGTAGAAAAACACCGACAGTTAAAAAGCTAAATTTAAACACACTAATCTATATTCTCCCATAAAATCTACTAAAAATATACAATGCATTAAAATAAGACAAAACTATAAATACAAGCCCTTGCTGATGTGGTTCAGTGGATTGAGAGCCAGACTGCAAAGCAAAGGGTCACTGGTTTGATTCCCAGTCTTGGGCACATGCCTGGGTTGCAAGCCAGGTCCCCAGTAGGGGGTGCATGATAGGCAACCATACACATTGATGTTTCTCTTTCTCCCTCCCTTTCCCTCTCTCTAAAAATAAGTAAATAAAATCTTTAAAAAAATAACAAACGATAAAGTAAGACAAAACCATAAATCTAAAGGAAAAGAACAAAAGAGAAAATAACAAAATAAAAAGTATGGAAGCTACAAAGGACAGATAATAATTAACCTCAGACTCAAGAAAACCCGAATCCTGAGATAGAAATGCACAGAAGCACAGAATCCTCCAGGACCCAGGAAGTGGTAATACCAGGCTCCATAAGAGATGGGGATAAAAATGATGACTAAAAAAAAAAAAAAAAAAAAAAAAGGAAAGGCTCCCAGATTGCTTTTCCAATTACTAGCATCCAGAAGACTGACCTACATCACTCACTACCTGAAGACTGGAGGTATAAATCTCTGGAACAAGTAAAACAAAAGTTCTTTCTTCTGGGGGCTTAATGGTCACAGCTCAGGCAAGAACTATTAAAATGACATCAAAGGATTAAGTAGGAGTACATAAACTAATTGTTGAAACCCACTCCCTTCACCCAAAGTCTCCTATGTCTACTCAGAGACTCCTGGAGGAAAGCAGCCAAACCTATGCCTTCTACAAAGAAAACTGACAGAGTACAGTATTTTCTAATGAATTTGAGAAACCTAGAGAAAAGACCTATAGGTAAATGCAGTACTAGAATCCTCGCACAACCACATAAAAATTACAACTAAACTACAGGACAACCATCATTCAGAACTGTCTGAAAACTAGCCCAATGTTAAGTCCTAGAACTAAGGATATAAAGAAGCCACATCAAGACTGGTAGGAGGGGTGGAGACAACAAACAAGCTGATCCCACATTCAGGAGTGGCAGATATAAATCAGGAGGGATATGTGGGCTGCAGAGGTCCTCTGTGAGGAGTGAGGGGGTCCCAGGCCCACACCAGGCCCCCTAGTCCTAGATTCCAGGCCAGGAAGAAAAGTCCTCATAACTTCTGGTTGCAAAAACCAGTGGAGTTTCAGGCTGAGTAAGTTGGTGAGTGGCTGGAGACTCAGGCATTCCTCTTTAAAGGGCTGTGCAGGGACTTACTCAGACTCACTTACTCTAAGCTCTAATGTGGGGGCAGCTTGAAAGGGATCAGGAACATACAGAGAGGAGCTGACTTGTCTGACATTAGGACAAGGACTGAGGGGCAGCTTTCTCTCAGAGTGCTGGCAGAGGACTTTGTTCCTTTTCTGAGATTCCCAGCACAAAGCAGGAAGGTGCCAAATCTGAGCTTCCATCATCCTGGCTAGGGCTGACAAGCCTGCCCTGGTGATTTCCCTGAGACCCCATCCCACCCAACTTACAGACCCAACCTAAGCCATTTCCAGTGGCTTTTCAATATAAACAGCCTATCTTGGCTCATGCTTCAGACTTTCTTAAAATCAAACAAGTAGCATCTGGCCTTGGTATTCCTTGTACTTCCTGCTAAATGGCCCCAGGCCTGGCACTTGCAACAGCCAACCCTGGTTCACAGCTTGGCCTTTCCCTGTGCACCTACAAGCCTAGCACAACTAGCAGCCATCTACAGATTGTTTTGTACCTCATGCTAGGTGACCTTAGCCTGTACCTCCCAAAAGGTTCCAGAGACAGCTTCAGACCACTTCAAAGCAACACTCAACCACCTCCACAAGTGAGACACTCAAGTGGTAAACAGAGTGGGTACCAGAGCAGAACCCCACTAAAGTTAAGTCCTGCTTGTGGGCTGAGCCCCTGCACAAATGACCCTTCAAGGTGGTCAGTCAGTCCTTGCAGCTAATTGGCCTGGGGGTAAATTCCTCCCACTGAGGTGCCAAGAGCAATTAAGGCATAACTACAGTCCACAAAGGGGGCACACCTGGAGTGCCCAGCTCTGGTGAATGGTGAGGCTGTGACATTGGATGCTACAGGATACTTAACACCTACAGCAAAAGGCCACTCTACCACACCTGGGAGATGAAGTTCTACCTAATTCAATAAAACAAATACAGGGAGGTTGCCAAAATAAGGTGACAAAGAGACATATCCCAAATTAAAGCACAGAACAAACTCTAAAAAAGGTACTAAACAAAATGGAAACAAGCAATCTTACAGATGAGACGTAAAGCTCAAACACTGGTTATAAGGATGCTCAATGAACTTAGGGGAAGAGTAGATGAACATAATGCAATACGAGGTAAGCAACAAAAAGAAACTAGAAAACAAAAAAGAACCAGTCAGAAATAAAGACTACACTACAGGGTATCAACAGTAGTGTAGATGAAGCAGAGGATCAAATCAGAGATTTCAAAGAAAGCACCCAACTATAACAGTTAAAAAAAAAAAGGATAGTTTAAGGGGCCTCTGGGACAAAAACAAGCATACCAACATTTACATCATAGGGATGCCAAGAAGAGAGAGCAAGAATGAAAACCTACGTGAAAAAAATAATGATGGAATGAGATACCACTTCACACTAGTCAGAATGGCCATCATAAATAAATCAACAAACAAATGTTGGAGAGGATGTGGAGAAAAGAGAACCCTAGTGCACTGTTGGTGGGATTGCAGACTGGTGCAGCCACCGTGGAAAACAGTATGGAATTTCCTCAGAAAAGTAAAAATGGAACGGCCTTTCGACCCAGCAATTCCACTGCTGAGATTATACCCTAAGAGCCCTGAAACACCAATCCAAAAGAACCTATGCACCCCAATGTTCATAGCAGCACAATTTACAATAGCCAAGTGTTAGAAGCAACCTAGATACCCATCTGTAAATGAATGGATCAAAAAACTATGGTACATTTACACAATGGAATTCTACACAGCAGAGAGAAAGAAGGAACTCCTACCCTTTGCAAGAACATGGATGGAACTGGAGAGCATTATGCTAAGTGAAATAAGCCAGGCAGTGAGGGACAAGTACCGTATGATCTCACCTTTAAGTGGAACACAATCAACAAAAGAAAAAAGCAAACAAAATATAACCAAAGACATTGAAATTAAGAACACTCTAACAACAGCCACAGGGGAGGGGAGAGAGGACAGTGGGGAGAAGGGTTTGCAGGAACTACTATAAAGGACACATGGACAAAACCAAGGGGGAGGGTAGAAGCAAGGGAGGGAGGTGTGATTGGCTGGGAGGGGGGAAAGTGGTGAGGAGAAAATGCAGGCAACTGTAATTAAACAACGAAAAAGCAATGAAAAATAAATAAATGAATAAATAAATAAAAATAATGATGGAAACTTCCCTAAACTGATGAAGGAAACACATACAAGTTAAACAAGCAGAGAGAGTCCCAACAAGGTGATCCCAAAGAGGCCCACACCAAGACACACCACAATGAAAACATGAAATGTTAAAAAGAGAGAATCTTAAAAGCAGGAAGAGAAAAGCGGTTAGTCATCTACAAGGGAGTTCCCATAAGACTATCAGCTGATTTCTCAACAGAAGCTTTGCAGGCCAAAAGGGACTGGCAAGAAATATTCAGTGATGAAAAGCAAGGACCTACAACCAAGATTACTCTATATAAAGAACTGCACAGACAAGAAAAAGCTAAATAAGTTTATCACCACCAAACCAGTATTCAGGAAATATTAAAGGGTCTTCTTTAAGAAGATAAATAAAAAATATGAATAAAATGGCAGTAAATATCAGTCAACAATTACTTTAAATGATGAAATCTTGCAAACTACAACAACATAGATGGATGCAGAGGGTATTGTGCTACATGAAATAAGTCAAAGGGAAAAAATGCCATTTGATGTCATCTTTATGTGGACTATCAAAAAACAAAATAAATAGAACAGAAACAGACCCACAGAGAACATTTTGCCAGATGGGAAGGGGGGAAGGGGATTGGGGGAATGGGTGATAAAGGTGAAGGGATTAAAAACTACAATTTGATAGTTACAGAAGTCATGGGGATGTAAAAGTACAGCAAAGGGAACGAGTCAACAATACTGTAATAACTATGTAAGCTTAGATGGGTACTAGATTTACCAGGATGATCACTTAGTAAGTCATATAACAATCTCTAGGCTGTACACCAGAAACTAATATAATATTGTATGCCAATTGCAACTGGAAAATAAAATTACTGAAAGCCAAAAAAAAGGACACATACATACTCACACCCTATAATCCCACCAGACTACCAGCTCACCCACCATTTCAACACAGACAACATACAATCAGTTTTTAGTATCTCAATTGTAACCACTGAGCAAATAAATAAGAATTTCCACATACACAAAGAAAACCTTAATATGGAAAAGAAAGAGAAAAAGAAAAACAGGAAACGAGTAGCTTGGAAGAAACAAACTATGCAGTAACAAACACTTTTAAAAAAGCTAATTCATCCATGAAATACACAAAAACATTCGCAGTACAAAAAGGATGTCTTTAAAATTAAAAACAGTACAAAAAACTTAAAAGTTAATAAAAGCATTACAAGATAAAGGTAAGGAGAGCTCTATAAAGTAAAACAAAAGGGCTGAAATGGCAAACAGTATACAAAAGATAAGAAAATTGAAGACTATCAATGAACATCCAATAACCTAGCAACTGGGGTTAGAAAAAAGAGAAAAGCACTGAAAAAAACCCCCAAGAATACAAGAAATTTTCCTACAACTAAAAGACACAAGTTTCCAGATTAAAATGGCCAAAAGTTTCTAGCATAATGAGAACAAGATTCTTAAGAGCATATTTTGAGAAATGGAAGATGACCCTCAAGTTTCTAGAGGGAGGGAAAAAACCTCAATCATATACATTAGATTAAGGATCAGAATTACATAGACTTCTCAATACCAAGAAAATAAAGTTAAGGGGAAAATCCTTCAAAAAGCAGAAAGAAAATTATGTTCAAAGTAGAATTCAATGTCCAAATAATTAAGTGTGAGCCTCAAATAAGGATACTCTTAAATATGTAGGGTTTCAAAGAATTTACTTACCATACATATTCTAGGAGTTACGAGAAAGTGCAAAAAAATGAATGTATTCAAATGAATCCGAGAAAAAGGAGAGAAGAGTTCAGAAATAAACAAAAAGATAACATATGTGCCCTGAATTTCATATGCATAAATTAGATAATTAAAAAGACTTTATAAAAGAACTGCTATTGATAATACAAATATGCTAATATGCCCACTCTTGATTCTCTACTCATGCCAATAAAAGCAATGAGTTGGCAATTGAAATATTGAATATATCTGCAAATATTTCTTTCTTAGTACCATCAACTTTTGGAGTACACAAACCAAAAAAAGCAAGAATCATGCTATATGGGCTAACACAAGAAATCTTCCACTAATTCAACAAATATCTTTAAGAGTATTGCAGAGGTGATACAGTTAAACAAGGACAAATGATACACAAAAATTTGAAAAAAAAATTATTTGCAGAAAAAAATCCAAGACAAACAATAGAAAAACTATTAATACATGAATTCAGTATGGTAAATAGGTTTAAAAAAATCCAAAAGCTTTAAATAAACAACTATCAACTGAAATACAAAACAGAAGTTATCACATACTAGTTCCAATACTACACACATACATAAATCAAAAAAATGTAATAGGGTGTAGATTTGTTTGCTGATGTTAAAATACATTTTTAACATCATAATTAACAATATAGTTTCAACATATCGATAAGGTAAGAGAGACTCTAAAACAGGCCCGAATGCATACAGAAACTTAGTACATATTTATAAAGGTGGTATTAATTTCATTAATTTTAAATTAATGAAGAAAAGATCACTCAATAATTGGTGTTAAGACAACCAGGTAACCAACCATGTGGGTAATTTTGGTTTAAGAGTGAGATGATATCAAGAAAAAAATTAATCATTAAAAATTAAACCATTAAATAGTTTGAGAATTTTAATATTTATTTTCAGAGAGGGAAAGCTTTCAAGCCTTGTCACAAAATTCAGAAGCCAAGTTTGAGACAAAACTGGTAAAAAATACTGTCAATAAATAGCAAAAGCTAATATATACTATATTCACAAGAAAGAAACCACAAATAGCTACTGTGATAACAGAATAAAGAGCTGCAGGACCAGATGTCACAACTGTGAAAAAAGCTTACTTTTCACTATATATCCACTTACATGTTTTATTATATAGACATATAATCTTGGCAAAAACTTAAAATATTAGTTATATTTCGCTCCAAAAATATAAAGTATATTTGGCACACTCACTAATCATCTTGGAAGGCACCAAATTATGAAAGTATAAGCCACTAACCTTACAGAAATGGAAATCACATATCTCTTTCTTCTTTAAGTTGACTGATGATGCTTCTAATGAAAGATGCTTCTAATATCTTCCCATGTTATTTGGGAATTAATCTTTAAACGAAAATTCTATAGCTAAGATAAAACAATCTATTAAAAAACACGAGAATACAAAAACAGTATTATCTATTAAATTATGTAATAAAACAACTTAGAGTAAGCAAGACTAAGTAAACAATAGCTTAATGACAATTTTCACAATTATATGCAAAATATCACACAGCTGCAACGTGGGCACCATCTCATATTTACAGTTTAATAGATGCGGGCTTTCTTCTAAAATAATCACTACTTCCTACCCCAAACCCCACCTAAGTGGGAGTGTATTTTACTTCCTAACTAATGCTGAGCTTGGCCACATGCCTTAGTTTGGCCTCAAGGTAGGCAAAATGTATTTCGCTGACTCCAAAGCCTTGGCCATCTGATTTGTTTTGGCGAATGGGACGTCAGCAGAAATGATGCAAAGATTTGCAATGTCTTTGTGCAGTTGGGCTTGCCCTCTTATATCTCTGCCATTACCAAGAAAAAAGATTTACCCGGTAGACATTGCCCCTTCAGCCTAGGACCCAGAATAAACTACAAGGAGGAGAACTAAGTCAAACCCCAAATAAGGTGCCAAGCCCAACCTACAATGAGAAGCCCATCCACACCCACAGATTCCCCGCCAAGCCCAACCTAAGTTACCTAACTCACTCCACTAATGTAAAAGCAAGATTAATAAATTGCTGTTTTAAGTCACTGGGCTCTGGGACAGCTTCGCATACAGCAATACTTGTTAATTTACACATTGCAGTTAATTTGTGTTTTCTGGGAAGCTCCAAACATACAACAGTGAAGATTAAGCCCCCCAAATACAATAACTTAAAAAACAAAGATAATTTCTTTTATTAGTTTAGCACTAAGAATCCTAATTTTTAAAATGACAAATTACATCATTGTACTTCTCTTCCTTTCAATTTTAAATATTTAATACATTTGGCAGTTGGCACCTACCTTAGAAAAGAGGTAAATTCATACACAAATCTACAGTAATTGTCAATCACCTGTTCAGGTATGCTACAGTTAATTTCACTTTAGGTTGCCCTAACACGCTAAGTCATTATGAATCTAGCATTATAAAAGTTAATAACCCCTTTTCTATTAAATAAACCTTGCAATCAAGGACCAAAATGTATTCTCTAACTTGCTAACAAATTGAGAAGACACCCCCCCAACCATAGCTAACCTATTAATATAATCCTAATAAAATCAATATTGGGACCAAAAACCAATCATCAAACTTTACATAAAATGACCACTTTCAAAAGTCCACAATAACATTTTTATTTTATTATAGGAAGATATTTACAAGATACACGTTTCAAAAGTACCCAAGAATTTAAGATTACATCTAATTTCTCACTGTGCTTCAAAATAAAATGTAATCAAATTTTAATCAAAATACTTACATTATACATCACATTTTAAAGCAAGTTTTAAAAAAATATTTTATAATTGAAATATAATTCCTATACCATAGAATTCACCTTTTTATAGTGTACAATTTAGTGGTCCTTAGTATATTTGGAATTGTACAATTGCCATGATCTAGCTCCAGAATATTTGCATAAGCTATCTCAAGCATGTCAGACAATGCTGTAACAGGGTGCAGAGGGGTCCTCAAAGTTTAGGAGAAATTTCCCACTGCTCATGACTGGGGGAAGAGGAGAAGGGGATGAAACCACTTAGCATACTTTGCCTATCTGTGGCAAGTTGATGGCTAGTTAATAATTGTACTACCAGTATGGCAAAAGGACTACACGATTTTATGAGCACTCAGGGACTCATGCGACAGTGAGGGGAGGCAGAGGCCCCTGTGTAACAAGTCAGTCGTCCTGACTAAAGATGGCAGCCGAAAAAATGTAAAACATATGGGAGAAGTGGCAAAAAAAGCACATTGTAGGAGGAGCCAGATATTAGGTCATGTAGGAAGCTCCAGGTCATTTAAAATAAGGGTGGGTCCACCATGGGGTAATGAGGAAGCAACAAGAAGCTATACTAGCCAACAGTCAGGATTCTGCCATGCAGCTGGGTCTAATAAGGAAAAGGCAGCTATGAGGAGATGCAGCCATGCAAGTTGCAGAGTTGAAAGCAGGCATTCCAGTCTGTAGTGAGCAGGAGCTGGAGTGATAAAGAGGAGACCCACTGGGAAGAAGACACTGGCAAAGCTGATGGAGCTGGGAATTGCAGGGACCTGCCTAACCAAACACAGATTCATGGGAAATGCCTGGAATACTGAACTGTGGCAGGGAATGCTCAGACTATGTAAGAGAAGCCACTTTCTTGGGACATGTGCCTTCCTGGACTTCACCATGAACCACAATAACACATGTTTTCCTGGACTAACTACTGCAGAGAGGTTGAGGACAACATACCCCAGATCCTGAAGGAGAGAGCTCTTGCAGAAGGATGGCAACTTTGAAACCTATGAGTGTGCTTTCCAGAGCAAATGGAGAACTGTTTGTGCAGCTGCCTTAAGAACAGATAAGGATACGGGGAACTTTGGGGCATGTTTTTGGCTTATAGCATGGTGGGGAATAATGGAAATACTGGGTCTCATGGGAGAATAGGGCTCTGAGCAGAAATGCTCTCAGCCCCTCCTTCAAGGCTAAAATCCTATAAACAAAAATCTGTTTCAACATTAATTGCTGGGTTATGCATCAAGGTGCCACATGGATGGGGCCAGGTTTGCTTGGTTACAATACCACCCTGAGTGTACCTGATCTTGAGAATATTTTCATTACTCCTAATGAAAGGCAAATGCTGTATCAGTTAGGTTCCTGAACTCAATTTCTATACGTGTGCCTCTGTGTATGTGTGTGTTGGGGAGCTTCCTGTACAATAACAAGCAATTTGAGACACCATCAAGGTGTCCTACAGTTCAGCACAGATAGTGTCAAATCCTACAGGTTAAGGATTCAGTCTTAACCTTCCCTCTGCCCCCCAAACACACACTCAATGCCCATTTCATACCCATTAGCATTCATTCCCCACTTCCCACTCCTTCCAGCCCCTTGCAACTACAAATCTATTCTCTATCTCTACAAATTTGGTTATTTTAGGTGTTTCATACAAATGAAATCATAAAATGTTCAGCCTTTTGCGCTTGGCATTCACTTAGCATAATGTTTTCAAGGTTCAAATAATGTAGCATATATTATAAATACCTTGTTATTTTTTTTATGCTGAATACTATTCCATCATATGAACATACCACTTTCGTTTATCTATTCATGAACTGATGGACTGTTTGATGGGCTGTTTCTACCTTTTGGCTCCCATGAATAATGCTGCCATGAAGAATCTTGAATGAGTTTTTGTGTTTTAGGTCTCTTGGAGATATATATATGTATATATATAAACAAAACTATAATTGTTGGGCCAGTTGGTAACTTTGTTTAATTTTTGAGGGACTGTTTTCCAAGCCAGCTGCATCACTTTAAATTTCTACCAGCTTTGTATGAAAGTTTCAATTTCTCTACACCCTTGTCAGCATTTGTTATTATTTTTACATTTTAGTCATCCTTTTGGGTATTCAAGTGCTCTTGCATTATAGCCTTAATATGCATTTTCCTGATCACATTGAGTATCTTTTCATATATTTAATGGCCATTTGTATTTCTTCTCTAGAGAAACATCTATTAGAATCCTTCATTTTTAAAATTTAGCCACTTTCCTTTTTAGTAGTGAAATGTAAGAGCTCTTTACCTGGATATTACACTTTCATCAGATGAATGATTTACAAATACTTTCTCCAATACATCAGTCTTCACCTTTCTTAATACAGAGTCCTTCAATACACAGATAATTTTAATTTTCATAAAATCCAATTAATCTTTTTTCCCCCTCTGGTTGGTTGTGATTTAGGTGTCATACCCAAGAAACTATTAGCTAATCAAAGACCATGAAGATACACATTTATGTAGTTTTAGCTTATATTTAGATCTTTAATTTATCTTGAGTTCACTTTGTATATGGTATGAGGTGGGGTAAAATCTTCATTTTTTTTAAAAGTGGATAACCAATTTGTTAAGAAGACCATTCTTGCCCCAGCCAGCATAGCTCAGTTAGTTGGAGAATCATCCCATAACCAAAAGATTGCAGATTTCATTCCTAGTATGGGGCACATAATTAGGTTGCAGGTTTGATCCCCTGCAACCTAAGTACAATCCCCAGTCCAGGCACATCGGGAGGCAACAATTAATGCCTCTCTCACTTAATGTTTCTCTCTCTCCCTTCCGCTTTCTAGAAGCAATGAAAAAAATGTCCTTGGATGAGGATTTAAAAAAAAAAAAAAGAAAAGAAAAAGAAAAAAAGACCATTCTTAACCACTGATTGTCTTGGCACTCTGGTAGAAAATCATTTGTTGCCCTGGCAGCTGTGGCTCAGTGGCTTTAGCACCAACCTGCAAACCCAAAGGTCGCTTGCTAGTCCAATTTCTGGTCATGGCGCATGCCTGGGTTGGGTTGCAAACCAGGTCCTCTGTTGTAAGCATGCAAGAGACAACAGACCCTTGTAGCTCTCACACGTTTTACTCTCCAAAAATAAATAAATAAAAATCTTAAAAAAAAAAAACCAGCCTGGGGGTGGGCTGGGATGGGGGTAAAAGGCAGAAAACTGTACTCGAACAACAATAAAATTAAATTAAATAATTTTAAAAAACTACAAAACCAACAACAAAAACAGTAAAAGAGCCTTGGCTGGTATAGCTCAGTGGACTGAGCATGGGCTGCAAACCAAAGGGTTGCTGGTTGGATTCCCAGTCAGGGCACATGCCTGGGTTCTATGGCAGGTCCCCAGTTGAGGGCACTCAAGAGGCAACCACACACTAATATTTCTCTCACTTCCTTCTCTCTAAAAATAAATAAACAAATGAAATGAAAAGTAATTAATTAAAAAAAAAGAAAGAAAATCATTTATTCCCTAAACATATAGGATTATGTCTGTACTCACAATTCTGTTCCACTGATCTTTATGATCTTATGCCAGTACCACAAAGTCCTGATTTGTAGCTTTGTAGTAAGTTTTTGTTTTAGATGAAGCACATTGTA